CCAGCCCCAAGTCCACTCTTTAACAAACTTGTGCAGACTCCACCTCCGCAACATCGCCAAAATCCGCCCGTTCCTAACTCCAGAAACCACTAAACAGCTCATCCACTCCCTCATCATATCACGACTCAACTACTGCAACTCCCTCCTCACTGGCCTGCCTCGCCGCTGGCTATCCCCGCTTCAGTCCATCCTGAATACGGCTGCCAGACTCATTCACCTTTCCAACCGCTCCGTTTCCGCCACCCCCCTCTGCCAATCCCTCCACTGACTTCCGATTGCGCAACGGATCAAATTCAAAATCCTAACACTGACGTACAAAGCCGTCCACCATACTGCCCCGAACTACATCACTGACCTAATATCCAAGTACCACCCAACACGCACACTCCGCTCCTCACAAGACCTCCTTCTCTCTAGTTCCCTGGTCTCCTCCTCCCATGCCCACCTCCAGGACTTCTCCAGGGTGTCATCCATCCTCTGGAACTCCCTGCCCCAACCCATCAGATTATCATCTACTCTCCTCTCCTTTAGGTGCACCCTGAAAACCCATCTCTTCAGGGAAGCCTACCCCACCCCCTGCTAACTTGCTGACCTCCTCCACTCTTCCTACCACTCCATCCCCCACAGCTATCTCCTCCTGTGCCACCATCCCCTCCCTCCTAGATTGTAAGCTCGAAAGAGCAGGGCCCTCGATCCCCTCATGTTTTGCATTGTATTGGTATTGTTCTGTCACATGTTCTGTTCCCCTCTGTAATGTACAGCGCTGAGCGAACTATTGGCGCTTTATAAATACTGTATAATAATAATAATATAAAAAAATTAAACCTTTTTGAAAAATTATATATTTTTTTAACTGAATTGGGTTTTTTATTTTACCAAAAAGAGAGATGAATACATTTTGGCCAAAATTTATAAAGAAATTATTTGCAAAATTGTATAAGAAAAACACTTTTTTTTTTCATTTATATAGTAAAAAAAACATAAAAATCCCAGTGTTGAATAAATACTACCAAAAGAAAGGTTTATCTGTCTCATAAAAATGCTAAAAATTTAATTTGGTTACAGTGTTGCATGACCGCGCAATTGTCATTCAAGGTGTGATAGCGCTGAAAGCTGAAAATTGGCCTGGACTGGAAGGGGGTGAAAGTGTCTGGACTGGAAGTGGTTAAGAGCTCCTAAACCTAGAGCATTCAGTATGCAAATATCCATGTCCAGGAAGCTGAGTGACATGCATCCCCTGCAATGCTGTCTTCTTAAAATGGAACTGAACTCCACAATACTTTCCCTCGCTGGTGTCAGCATCTTCTACCTGGCTTCTTCCAGGTGCCGGGCTGCAGCTGTCTCATTGACCAGCCCAAGATGTCACTCCTGCCAATGCGCAGGAGTTCAGTCATCCCGCCATACAGAGCCTGTGCTGGAATGTAAACAGAGCTACAATCGCTCGGCTCCGTGTACTTTCCAAAGAAAACTTCTAGTAGGCAGGTAGGTTTCTTTTATCGTTTATAGTATAAAGTGCAGCGCTAAATGAATAAATTAGATAAATAATTTAAAAAGTATTATGAAACATCCAAGTGCAGTGCTGATATAGGGTACAGCACTCAAATAGCTGATAAATGTGGAACAATCAAGTGCAACATATAAAGTGGCAATAAATGAATAAAGTCCATATATATTCTAATGAATAAAGTCCATGGGACTATAAGTCACAGCAATCACAGTGAAAAAACTGAAATCATCCAGTGAAGGAATCCACCACCTCTGTCAGATGTAAACTCACCAGAAAGCTACTGGTAAACAGCATGTAAGCACATCACATCAGGACATAGGAAACAGCCAAAAGCCTCTATATGGAATGCTCCGCCAAGGGCAAACTGCATATGGACCCTCTCCTAGGAAGAACAGCTTCCATGAGGGCACGCCATAACCAGCTCTGCCCCATGCACTAGACTTCTTTGTTTACCTCCGCCGGTGACAGTTGTGGGTGGCGGAGGTGAAGAATGAAGCTGTGAATGGGCTGCCTAGTGCACGGGGGCAGAGCTGGGTATGGCATGCCCTCATAGAAGCTGTTCTTCCTAGGACTGTAAACTGTGATCATGTGAACATGCAACACGGTCAGAAAGCTGGATAATGCAGGCCATAGACGGGGCGAAAACTGGCCGTTTAAAAAAAAAAAAAAAAAAAAAATCTGTTGTTCAATCGGCTGATGTTATCACCAAAAAAAATCATCCGAATTTCGTCCCGTCTACGGCCAGCAAATATAATAGCGGAGTATTACTTCTGTCCCTGCAGAGAGCTCCGCTATTATATTTGACATTAAAAAGTATAGTGGTTGCAACATTGTATCTATTTGTATACATTTCGGATACAGATGTTTTTATTCGGATACAAATAGATACATTGTTGCAACCGCAATACTTTTTAATGTCAAATATAATAGCGGACTGGAATTCTTTTTCTTATTCTTTTTCTACTTTTTATTCTTTCTTCTTTTTATTTTTCTTGCAGGTCACGGATCATGCGCAGATTTTTTATCGGTAAAACTCCTTTTATCGGTAAAAAAAATCGTCCAGTCGGCAAAATCAGCTGATTTTTTTCCAACTTTACCGATTAAAAAAAAATGTGCCAAAATCCCGAAAAACGGCCGACCCATTAACCCACTAATGATCTGAAAATCAGCCGATTTTTTTTTTTTTCTTTTTTTTTTTTTTTTTTTTTTTTCGGCCGAGAAATCGGCCGATTTTCGACCCATCCTGCTTAAAGCTGGTTATACAAGCTGAGTTTTTTTTTTTTTTTTTTTTTTCCATGCAGGACCAATGCACACCATGTTAAAATGTTTGTCACCGTAGGGACACATAGGAAACAATTGTTGCATTCACACTGCAACGAGGCATAGTGCTGTGCTGCAACGTGTTGAGATAAAATGCACACATGCTGTATGTTATCGCAGTGCACTGGCCCAACTTGTACTGAGATGTCAAGCAACGCATCCTGCCGCCTGACATTGCAGTGAATGACCTGCTTCCGTGGTGCTGTCAAAACTGCACTGCATCAGTCTGAAAGCAGCCTAAGAGTTTTATGGGACAGTCACAGTGCTACTGCGTGGCATGTAATGCTTTTAGTTCTGAATATTTCTTATGGCCGTTGTAAGTGGATGATACGTAATCAACAGGCGGATTCTAGTCTGTACCCTTGTTCCAACTTGCTGGATAATTCTGTAATTTATGCATGAACTCCTTCACAAAGCCAACATTTGATATACAAACAGATACTATGGGGGGTAATTAATCCCCATGATGTGTTGTTTTCTACATGATATAAACACTTGACAACTGCCTGCTCAGATACCATACACTGAAAAATCATTTGAGGTGAAAGGATTAAATCTTGGCTGCTCCATAGTTGCTTTGCAGAGGAGGTAAAAACATGTCTTCTGACACAGCACAGTTTGCCCTTGTATGGCCAGAATTAATGTAACCGTTCCTCCAAAATATAAATCATATTTCAGATCCAAGTGGATTTGAGAAAGTGGAGGAATTACTCATTTGGAATATTCACTATGTTTTGTGTATTAGTGATGGCTGTTTACATGGTATTACAATGTTATTGCTTGAAAACATTTTACAGAATGCAGTGACTCTACCCAATCGCATCGCCACAGAGCAGCAGTCATTGGTTCTCATGAAGAGGCTGCTGGCTGTTTCTGTTTCCTGTATTACTTACCTGAGGGGCTTGTTTCCAGAATATGCATATGGAACCAGATATCTAGAAGGTAAGAAAGTATAACAGGTCATTGGAAAGCAAGTTCCCTGCCACCATTGGCCTAACCTGTTTGATACAATGCACCTAGGTTAGCCAAAAGAAAGAGAAAACAAACTTTGAGTCTGCAAAATGCAGGTAAATTCCACTTATATTTTTTTTTTTTGGGGGGGGGGGGAGGGCTTAAGTCTGGTTATCAGGTCAGTACTTTTGTTTTTTCATTCCTTAAAGCAGATCTGAACTCAATTGCTGTACCTAAAAATGTTAGTTGCGCTTGAATATGCAAACCCCAAATTTTATATTCCTGATGTGTCTGATGTACCATGTACCTGTTTAAAAAAGTCTCCTGTTCTCTTTGTATTACTTTCTTCGTGTGGAATCCATGGTGCTCCTGCCAGTCTCTCTGCTTTTCTATTAAAACTGACCACAGTATGCTTGAGAGCAAAGTGTGGTCAGTTTTCTGGCTGTGCTGGGAACTCGGCCTGCTCTCCTCCAATGATTGGATTTGTCCTGATGCCCCCCCGCCACAACCATTCACTGGGAAGATTCATGTACTGCTGTTGCTCAGCCCCCGGCTCTTACGCAGCTGGAAACAGAAAACAAGAGATCACTAAAAAAGATGAAAAAAGAAGTTTAAAATAGAAGTGAAAGGTAAAACATTTTTGTATAAATATAAAAACTTTCTAAACTGAATGAGTTGTTTTATAAGGTGAGGGTTTACATATACTTTAAACATTACTCAGAAAAATGTATCTTTTGTCTGGAATTTCCCTGATTAGCCCTCATGCACACTAGAGGTTTTAACAGCGGCTGTTTACTGGCTGTAGAAAAAAAACACCAAAAGCTATAAACTCCCCAGCAGGTTATCCTATGTGTCCATGCACACATAGACTGTAATCAGCTTTTTATGGCGGGCATTTTCTGCTGGAAAAAAAAAAAACAGAACTAGTGGGTTTCTAGAAGAGTTTTTTAGCTGTAAAAATGCTCTAATGCTGAAAAACGTGGCAAAACACAGTAAATCGCGGCAAACCAGCGGTTTTGGCCTTTTTTTTAGGTAAAAAAAAAAACTTTAAAAAATGCAAACGCAAAAAAAACGCCGCTAAACGCTAATACATAAGAGCTATAAAGTGCTGAAAAACTCACGTTTTTAACGTGACTTTACACAGCTGATGTTACCAGTGTTATTAAAACGCCCCGTGTGCGTGGAGCACTTAATAGCAGTGCACTTCGTGCTATGTGAGTGTCTACAACAGGGGTGTCAAACTGGAGGCTCTCCAGCTGTTGCGAAACTACAAGTTCCATCATGCCTCTACCTTTGGGAGTCATGCTTGTAACTGTCAATCTTGCAATGCCTCATGGGACTTGTAGTTTGGCAACAGCTGGAGGGCTGCCAGTTTGACACCCGTGGTCTACAATCATGTAGCTATATATATCTGCTTGTAAAACCAGCGGGTTGAATGAAAAAAAAAACAAAAACTCAAATCCTCCCTGCTGAGCTCTTTTATTCTTACAGCAGGGAGACTTCCCTGCCATCAGAATACATTGATCAAAGCTGCCTGTGGCACTGATCGAGAATGCGAGTGGTTGTACAGAAGTCGATCAGTAGATGGACTTCTATACAACCAAATTGCCCATATATGGATTGAAATTAGTCTGGTCTCAAAATAATTGATGTTTGTACTACTGCACCATTCACTGTTCTTGATGGAAGTTCTGGCTTTGAGGAGGTAAAACCCTGCCTCTATCAAGATGGTCTCCTTCACGCAGAAACACAGGGCAGAACAAGGCATGGTAAGTCAGTAATAGGAGAGATCGGCTGCAGGGGAACTACAGTCAAAACTGGTGACTAGGCCTTTTGCCCTCTGCCTGTTTTTACGATAAGTTTCCAGAGTTTATTTCCCTTTTAAAGTGTATGTAAACCTAATAATTGTAACATTTAATGCTGCACTCTGCCTTTAAATCAGCAAATGCCAAAAACACTTGTGCAAACACCACAGTATACAAACATGCAACTAAATAATCAATAAATAAGATTAATCAAATAAAGTTCATTATGTTTTACCTTTTTAAATCAAAAATACATAAACATTGTGTTAACACCACAAATGTTCAATACATGCAAAATGCATCAATGAATAAATCAAAAATAAAGTCCATCAATAAAATCATACACTTCTTTGTAACTCCTTTGTGATTCCTCCACCATACAGAAACACCAGCTTCTTATCAGAAGATTAGTCCCCAGAATATAGGAGGTCTGTGTATGGTGCTCATTAAAGCAAAAGACTTTCCACTGTGTTCTCCTATCTAGACCGGGTATTGGAAACCACAGGCCAGCAGGGATGCGATGCAGTCCTGGCAAAGATATGGGTCACAGAAGCCACATAGCATAACACCATAACCACCAGTTTATTTTTTCTAAAAAGGTACTCATACAGCATAAATAGAATTGATATTTTAAAGTGGACCTCCAGCAGCATGATGAGGTCAGCTTTAGCCCCGCCCCAATACTTTTCGTCGTAAGGAGATGTTCTTAAGGGGATCACCAAATAATTAACTTTTATTTGCTCCCTTTTGTTCTAGCAGCACAGTGGCTAAATGGTTAGCACTTCTGCCTGGCAGTACTTGGGTTGTTGCTTCAAATCCCAACCACGGCACCACCTGGCTAGAGATTGCATGTTCTCCCTGTGTTTGTTTCCTCTGGGTACTCTGGTTTCCTCCCACACTCCAAAGACATGCTGGTAGGTTAATTGGATCTTGTCTAAATTGGCCCTAGTATGTGTATGTATGAATGTGAGTTAGGGACCTTAGATTGTACACCCCTTGAGGGTTAGGGACTGATGTGAATGTACAATATATATCTGTAAATTGATGGTGCTATGTAAGTACCTGAAATAAATAATAAATATCCCCTTAAAATAGTTTTCATATCTATTTCATGAGTGTAAAATGACCTGCTCTGCCAGAAATCTGAGTTTGTAACTTCCTGTTATCACTAGTTCTACAGTCTGTGCTATGCTAAAACACCTTTGGCCAGCATGAGTGAGAAATTTTTTTTTAAATTTTTGGATATTATGAGGATAAGTCAGACCAGTTAAATTCAACCTAATCATTAAGTGTGGCCCCCGACACTTCCAGAGGGTTGCACAGTAGCAGTGAATTTTAATGCACTGTGTTGTGAGGCCACCTATTTAAAATAATTGGGTTATAATGCACCCCAAAGCCCAATAATTTCAGTCTCGCTGCATTCTTTGCAGCACATTGCAATGCACACTGAAGAAGTTGGAGTGCAATAACCCCAGCATTAGTGGCAGTAATAATAACCCCTAGCATTGGTATCAGTGGCAGTAATAATAGTCCTTAGTATTGGCATCAGTGGCAGTAATAGCCCTTAGCATTGGCATCAATGGCAGTAATAATAACCCCTAGCATTGGTATCGGTGACAGTAATAATAACCCTTAGCATTAGTGGCAGTGATAATATCCCCTAGTATTGGTATCAGTGGCAGTAATAACCCTTAGCATTGGTATCAGTGGCAGTAATAACCATTAGCATTGGTATCAGTGGCAGTAATAACCGTTAGCATTGGTATCAGTGGCAGTAATAACCGTTAGCATTGGTATCAGTGGCAGTAATAACCGTTAGCATTGGTATCAGTGGCAGTAATAATAGTCCTTAGTATTGGTATCAGTGGCAGTAATAGCCCTTAGTATTGGCATCAGTGGCAGTAATAGCCCTTAGCATTGGCATCAGTGACAGTAATAATAACCCTTAGCATTGATATCAGTAGCAGTAATAATAACCCCTAGCATTGGTATCAGTGGCAGTAATAACTCCTAGCATTGGTATCAGTGGCAGTAATAATAAACCTTAGCATTGGTATCAGTGGCAGTAATAATAACCCTTAGCATTGATATCAGTGGCAGTAATAATAAACCTTAGCATTGGTATCAGTGGCAGTAATAATAGCCCTAAGCATTGGCATTAGTGGAAGTAATAATAACCCCTAGCATTGGTATCAGTGGCAGTAATACTAGCCCTTCGCATTGGCATCAGTGGAAGTAATAATAACCCCTAGCATTGGCATCAGTGGCAGTAATAATAACCCCTAGCATTGGTATCAGTGGCAGTAATAATAACCCCTAGCATTGGTATCAGTGGCAGTAATAACCCCTAGCATTGGTATCAATGGCAGTAATAATAACCCCTAGCATTGGTATCAGTGGCAGTAATAACCCCTAGCATTGGTATCAATGGCAGTAATAATAACCCCTAGCATTGGCATCAGTGGCAGTAATAACCCCTAGCATTGGTATCAATGGCAGTAATAATAACCCCTAGCATTGGTATCAGTGGCAGTAATAATAACCCTTAGCATTGGTATCAGTGGCAGTAATAATAGCCCTTAGCATTGGCATCAGTGGCAGTAATAATAACCCCTAGCATTGGTATCAGTGGCAGTAATAATAACCCCTAGCATTGGTATCAGTGGCAGTAATAACCCCTAGCATTGGTATCAGTGGCAGTAATAATAGGCCTTCGCATTGGCATCAGTGGCAGTAATAATAACCCCTAGCATTGGTATCAATGGCAGTAATAATAACCCCTAGCATTGGTATCAGTGGCAGTAATAATAACCCCTAGCATTGGTATCAGTGGCAGTAATAATAACGCTTAGCATTGGTATCAGTGGCAGTAATAACCCTTCGCATTGGTATCAGTGGCAGTAATAATAACCACTAGCATTGGTGTCGGTGGCAGTAATAATGACCCTCAGCATTGGTGTCAGTACATGCAGTAATAATCCCCAGTGCTGGTGTCAGTGCATGCAGTATTAACCTCTCAACATTGGTGTCACTGAGTGCAATAATAGCCCCCCATCACTGGTAGTTATAGCAGATCACTGGTAGTTATAGCAGAGAAGGTTAATCCCCCATTCACCCCCCGACCCCCAACCGGTGGGCAGCGTGTTGAGCACCAGGGGGTTATACTCTTTATAAAAGTTTTATTTTATGCCAGAGAAGAGGTTCAACCTGTTTGGGTGGATACAGCCATTGAGATGGAATGTAAAGGGAACTCCAAAAATGTTTGTTATTATCAGCGCAAGAGAAATGCTCTGATCTGGACACCTGTTTCTATAGCAACTCTCTAAGATAGGAATGCCTTTCACTTTGGGGAAACTTTCTCTCATTTTCTGATGCAGTTCTAGGACAGGAATTGAAGGAAAATCTCCCCAGTGGGACAGAATCAGCAAAAAATAACCTGATAGTGGTTTTAACTCTTCCCTACTGTCTAAAAAAGCCTTTTCTTTGGGGATTTATTTATTACAGGTACTGATATATACTGTATATGTAAAGCACTGTGTAAATTGATGGCACTATATCAGTACCTATAATAAATCCCCAAAGAGGCTTTTTATTTAGACAGAGTAGGGAAGGGTTAAAACCACTATCACTAAACTTAACCCTCAAGGGGCGTACAATCTAAGGTCCCTAACTTACATTCATACATACACATATAGGGCCAATTTACCTTCCAGCATGTCTTTGGAGTGTGGGAGGAAGTGCCCAGAGGAAACCCACACAGGCACAGGGAGAACATATAAACTCCAGGCAGATGGTACTGTGGTTGGGATTTGAACCAAAAACCCTAGTACTGCCAGGCGAAACCATTTAGCCACTGTGCTGCCCACATGTGTTGCAGGGATTGAAGCTTAGGTTTCACAGCTAATTGACATACTAGTTGTTCAGGTGAGATTTAGATCAGGTTTAGGTCAGGATTTTATCCTGTTCACAACTGATGACTTGCGGTTTAGAAACGGTTCCCATAGAAGTCAATACCCTGTAATCCGCACCTGAACCGGACCACACTGTTCAGAAATCGGACATGCCTCCTTTTTCAGTCTGCACTGAATCTGCACTGCCAGTGCACCGGACATATGTGAACAGGTACTGTAGGAAGCAATGTTATTTCACATGTCATGCGGACTGGATGCAGTTCAAAACGCATATATGTGAACCTGCACTAAAGACTGTTTTGGATTTTGTTTTTTCTTGAAAGTGTGGGGGGGGGTTACTAAAATTGGAGAATTCAAAATCTGGTGCAGCTCTGCATTGAAACCAGTCAGCTTTCAGGTTTTATTGTCAAAGCTTCATTGAACAAGTTGAAGTTAAAAGCTGATTGGCTACCATGCACAGCTGCACCTGATTCTCAGTGCTCCAGGTTTAGTAAATCGCCCCCTCAGGCTAGGTTCACATATGTGCGGGTAGTGACGCTGTGGAGCCGCACTACCCACACAGAAGAATGCGGGCACACGGGCCGGTGCCATTAATTCTAATGGCACGCCAACCCGCAGTGGGAACCGAGGGCTGCGGTTTCCAAAGAAGTGCAGGAACTTCTTCCCTGTCTGTCCCAGATG